CAGGCCCCACCTGGAGGCTGGCAACCCTACGCAAAGCATAGGGTGAAGTGTGGGTGGGAGAGGATCAAGAAGGCAAGTTCTCCTGTGAAAGTGGGAGGGCTTGCAGTGTAAGCAGGGGTGACTCACGATTTGAAGCATGGCAGGATGTCATGGCCTGAAGCTCAACCTTTTAAGGTACCCAATTCCATTTTGGGGTTGTGTTTCTGCCTCCTCTTTGGTTGGCTTAGCTTGATTGTGGGATTGTTTTATCTATTGTCCATATGACACAATGAGATTTTAATGTGTTCAGTTTTAAACACATTATTATTATTATTTTAGTTTTATTTAGTATGTTTTCTGATGACTGTGATATGTGGGACAATTTTAAAAGGTCTAATTATAGAAAGATGAGGATGGATACACATGCAAAACATCAAGGAATTACTGCAGGAGACCATCTGGTCCAGCATCCTGTATCACATAGTGGCCAACCCTTTCCTCTGGAGGTTCAACAACATGGCACAGAGGCCAAGGCTTTCACCTGATGTTGCTTCCTGGCACTGATATTAAAAGGTTTACTGCCTCTGAATATGAAGTTCCCTTTAGTCACCATGGCTTAGTAAACCACTGACAGACTTCATCAATCGAGGGAGGCCAGGCTAACTGCTACTAGGGCCGGGGCCTTTTCGGTGGCGGCCCCTACCTGGTGGAACGAGCTCCCGGAGGAGATCAGGGCCCTGTGGGACCTTTTGCAGTTCCACAGGGCCTGCAAGATGGAGCTCTTCCGCCAGGCATTCCTTCTGATTGAATTTTAATTGCCGCCAGCCCTTTGTAATGTATTAATTTTAACTGTTATGTTTTAATTTGTATTACGTATGTTTTTATCATGTATTTATGTCATTGGAAGCCGCCCTTTTGAAGCCTATGGCCATCACTACATCCTCTGGCACTGAATTCCACCTTTTAATAACTCACTGAGTAAAGAAGTATTTTTCCTTTTGTCCATCCTGAATCTACTGCCCATTAACATCCTGTAGTGTCTCTCCTTGGTCTTCTCTTTCCTGATGTTCCATTTTATAGTAATTGCGCTGCATAGTACATCAGCCATGCCCAGTACAAACCCCTGCAGTTTAGCTGCTATGAACACTGAACTATTCCACCTGCCAGAGTCCACCCAATATTTGAGTAAGTATGCAGAGTAGTGCTGCAGTAGAAAGAAAGTAACTCTTTAGACCAAAATTCATATGGAACTTCTAAAACAAAAAGTATGCAGAGTAGTGCTGCAGTAGAAAGTAACTCTTTAGACAAAAATTCATATGGAACTTCTAAAACAAGTAATTAAAAGTCGCTACTTAAATCAGTGCAAGTTTGGTATTGTCCTTATGACAATTTCAAACGAACCCTGAATCCATGATTTAAAGTTGTTTCCAAACAAATCATCTATAACCACAGTAAAGCATTTCTTGCAGAGTGAGCAAAGTATGGTTAAGGCAGTTTTACTGTGCGCCTTGTGTTTAGTCATGCCGGCCACATGACCACGGAAACGTCTTCGGACAGCGCTGGCTCTTTGGCTTTGAAACGGAGATGAGCACCGCAACCAACCTACTCGACTGGCTTTCGAGCAAGGGAACCTTTACCACCTTCCTAGTCTCTCGGCTTGCATATTGAGGCATTCAAACAGATCTCAGCTTGGGAAACAGTTTCAGTGTGCATTTGAGATCTTAATTCAAGTTAGAGCAAGAAACCATCCTTGCTCCCTCCTTAAGGGTTAATCTGCAAAGTGACAGGCCTAGTTCCTTTTGTAGGTGTCATTGATTAAGGACCCTGGCCTAGCTGGTGTCTTATCAGCCCAAGATCGAAACTATTAGCTTCTCATGAGAACATCTTGTTAGAGGCGGGGGGGGGGGCACTTGGAACAATAATGTAAGATACTGGAATATTGTCAGGTTCAACAGCAAGTAAATCTCCACACACGTTTCCAGGGAAGCTCGCTGAGGCATGCGCCATAGCGCCAGGGTCAGAGAAGGGATCAAGCAAAACATGGCAGCTAGCTGACAAATATTCTCCTGAAGGCCCATTTGGATTGGAGTTTACCATCACCTGGCTGGGGTGTGTGTGTTAGAAATTATAATTGTACTATTGCCCCAGAGGCAAGTTTACTCTCTGAGATTCATGGGTAGGCTCGCATCTATGCTTGGCAGATTTGCTGCTGTCGTAGACCAGGTTATACGGAGGCCTTGGATGTAAATTTGCACTGCCTGATAACTCTTTGGAAGTTTTAGGTAGTAACAGCCAGCTTTATTGTTTTGTCTTCTGTATGATTTTGTATAATCCGTTAGCTTATTAGCTTAACTATTCAATAAACTACATAAAATGTTTCTTATAAAAACCTTGGTCTGGTTACTTGCGTGCACACACCCAGGGGGAACTCATGGACCAGCCTGTGCAGCTCCTTCACGTAGTGGCAGCTTAAGGGGTCAGAGTTTTTGTGCACAAGTACCCAGCAAAGCCAACACATTTTTAAAGTCTGCAGTGTGTTTGTTATTTTGTGCGTCGGGGATGGGTGAGGTAGGCCAAGCGGTACCAACAGGTGTGTTAGATGTTTCGAGCAGCATTGTAGAGATGGAAGTTACAGTGGAACCAGATTCGCAGCTGCAACATGAAGCAGCAGTGACAGAATGACATATCGGGACCTCCGGTGAGACGGAGAGTGAGGAAGATCTCTCAGCCTCTGAGGATAGTCAATATTCTTCAGCTTTCAGGCATTCTACAACTTGTGCTCTAGGGAAAATGTGCATGGGTGGAGAAAACCAGGAACACACCTGTCCATGTGGACCATCTTGTCCTGCTGCCAGCAATCTTCCAGAGTGGGATGCCTAGGGTTCCCAAAGGCACCAAACCGTAAGCCCCCAGGTGGCTCCCAAAGTACTGTCCCCTAGTCAGTCCACCAGCACTTATATGTAAGGCCATTTCTCTCCCAAAGCCAGGCCTGAATATTGATTGCAATGCCTCTGGATAATCCATCTCCTTCCAGACTACCTGAGGTTGCATAGCCACCAAATGGCTCAAGCTACGTAACCCTCACCTCTGCAATATTTCACCCCCAGAGGCTACAAAGGGCCAAGTCATGGCATTTCAGATGCAGGTGTTCTCAAACTTCTCTCTGTTGATTCAAAAGATGGTCAAGTCCTCAAGGATGCCAGCTGTCTGTGAGAAGAGAAGGTATGGGTGGCTGGACAATATACCTGGAAGGAATCCTATAAAGGAAATTATGTTTCTGACATCATGGTAGAGTGAAAGATTATGATGTTTTATTTCTGCCAGAAAAGGGAGAAGATTCAGGGCTTGGCCACAGAACCAACTTTCATTGACAGGGAGTACCAATAACTAGTTTCAAGTAACAACAATATCTACAAGTGCATGAGGAATGAGATTCCCTCACCACGGAGGAACAACCATCCCCCTCATATATAGGATTATATAGAACGGCCTCTCTTATTACATGGTATGACAAATCCCAGTAAATTTTAATGTTGGGGGGGGAACCCATCTTTTGAGAAGTTAAGGCCAATTCAACACTTGCTTGACCATAGTTCTCTTGAGATATCAGTAAAGACTTGCTGTAGAATGCAATGAAATGCACTGTTTTGAGGTGGTGTTATATATACAAGCCATCATTTGAACTAGCAGTTTATAGAAGTCATTGCAAAAACACAATGGGCCCATCACTGTGATCAAAAGATCCATGCCCTATTCACAAGTTTCAATTTATTTTCATACTGATCGTATTCTTGACCTTTCACTGCAATGCTGTGGATTTTACACGTATATTTACATCACAAATAAAAATGTCACAGCATTTTCTTTTGGAAAAGTTATGAAACATCCAAAATTAAATTCTTTAGAATTATTGATCCAGAAACTTTTGAACCGCATCTTACAAACAGTGTAACATTAGTAACACAGAAAGTCATTTAAGAAATGTGAAACTTACAGTAGCCACTAAAGTTATATTTAATGCTTGACTCCCTGATGAAGTCAGATCAATAAGAATAGAATTATATTCATTTAAATGAATATCCTAAACTTGATGAAGACAAATGGTCACAAAATCAGCATTTTAACTAGCGAACCAATTCCAGAGACTCCAAGATGTAATCCAACTTTCAGATAACCTCCCTGCACTTACATTCATAAATTCATAGGTTTTGTCTGTCTTATGAAACTTGGGAAACAGTTTATTTGAACAGGTGCCTTCATGTGGAATGTATATTCACAGCCAACAGGACTTCCAAAATGTAGGTGATACTATTTTGAATTGTTACCATCATGGCAGTCTCAGAGACTGCATATACAAGTACATTTGTGCAAGCCCAAACCAGGTACGATAGGAACATAAGAAGAGCCCTGCAAACTTGGCCACTACACTGCTCACCCCTAGTTCCAGATCATTTATAAATAAATTAAATAGCACCAGACCCAATACTGACCCTTGTGGGATCTCACTGCTTGCTTCCCTCCGTCGTGAGAACTGTCCACTTACTCCTACATTCCTACTCTTTGCTTCCTGTCATTTAACCAGTTTGTCATCCATAAGAGAACTTGTCCTCTTCTTATCCCATGACTGCTAAATTGACTCAGTAGTCTTCACATTCCCACGGCTATTTATGCAAAACATGGTGTTGTGTGTGAGAACCAGTTCAAAGAAGAACCTCATTAACACCGAATTCTGAGTCTCTCCTCTCAGAGCGGAAGAGTTTTATGTTATGAGCAGGGGTCATTTCGTATAAAAAGAGCTAGGGGGACTCATTAGCATAACTCATTAGCATATGCCACACCCCCTGACATCACCGGAAGTGTGTCCTCCCCACAGCCGGCGGCGACCTCCAGCTGGCACCAGCAGGGAGCTCCAGGCCCCGCCCTCCCGCACCTCACCCGGGGGGATGGCGTCCCCCCACGTCCCCCCCCCAAATGAGTTATGAGTCTGGCTTATCCTCTCAATTGTAATCAGTCTGATAGTTTTAATGTTGCTGGCGAAGCAACACAGCAAGTTTGTGCAGTTGCATCTAGCACAATTTTACTGGAGACAAAAACTGTCCAGCCTTGTCTAATATATATATTCAAGCAGCAGATCATGTGGTGACTGGAAGAAAACACCTGGAAATGAAATAATTATATTTTTAATTTAAAAATGTACACACTGTATACAATTGACTATCAGCTTCCTGAAGACTTCCCTATAATAGAGAAAATCACAATTTCCTGCTGTACAGTTGGGAAGTTTTAGAAATATGGAGTCCATTATTTGTAAGGTCTCAAAAACCTGGAGACTTTAGAACGCAGAAGCCGAATAAAAGACCTTGGAAACATCTCCCTGGACTCTTGCGCTGTGTACTTGAAGTAGTTCTGTGGATGTGCCAAAACATCAAACAACGCCTTTATCAGTTTCTTATCCTGAAAGAACAAGGCAGACTTTTATTGTCACATTAAAGGGAACAAAATTCCAAAACCACATTATATTACAACTCCTGTTAAACAGAGAGGTATAGGAAAAGTTATGAGGTAGGTCAGAAGTCTAGCTTTGTGTTACCATTTCTTTGTAAATACAGAGGACTACCACAGCAGTTTCAAGAATCGGGCAAAGTTACACACATATATCCATGCACCACTGCTATCACTGTTGCTGTGACTCCATGGGATGGAACAGAAGAAATATGCTTTACCATAGTTTCCATTTCCAGAGCAGCAGGGAAAAACAACCCCCTTTGCCTCTAAAATCACGGGGTTCATTGCAGGTTCTGGGACTGTATTAATGGATGCAGGGGTCATTTCGTAGAAAAAGAGGTGCAGGAGCTCATCAGCAGAAATCATTAGCATAACTTATTTGCATATGCCACACCCCCTGACATCACCGGAGGTGTGTCAGAAGGCAACACCCACCGCTCAGGCTCCACTGGACTGTTTTGGATTGCTAGCTATTGGGGGGGGGGGGAACATGCAGTGCTTTCTCCGCGGTTT